TGCTCGGATTGGTTATCTGGCCGGCTCTGTTGTGATTGGTCAACTGCTCAGAGATGTCCCGGCCCTTAGCCTAGCCTATCATGTACAATGTATTGGAGCGCTAGCCAATAGAAGCGCGAGGGTTACATAATGATGTCACTGTGTGACGGAAGTAAACAAAGCACTACATTTGAGTTTCCGGAAGAGAAACTCCCTCTTGCAGGAACTTTGGGATTTTAGCCTTTGCAGACCATTACATTCACACAAACCTAAATAACACACAGGAAAAGGAAACCCAAAGAAGCACAATAGGGCCTCTTTAATGACCTTCCAAAACATTCCAGCTTTAACCCGACTGTTCACATTTACCTAATATTGTACAGCTTGAACTTCAAACACAGAAGCAGACAATATGATCAGTAAATATATATTTTCACTGAGCTGATAAAAGGCCTTAACCTTTACCTTTCCCCTATACGGCTCCATAAAAAGTAAAGTAGTACAGCTGGCAGCATTTAACAGAATATGGCAGGGGATATGATTATCATTCTTCCCAATGTCCTTTAGTTTCATAAACAAGGCGTATTTTTTAGACATGCCAAAACTAAGACCCGATATGGCAGTTTAACACATGAGCCACATCCAAATTATTATTTTTTTTATCATTAAAGGAATGTTGATTTACTTTAAGTGTTGGCTTATCCAATCTGATCCCAAGCAAACACAGCTTGTCATGATGTGGAGGTCAGTAGAGGGAGTTCAGTTTTCAACAGTGTAACTAAAGTACAGTTAAACTGCCTCTAAGTTAATGCGGGCAAATTGCTGCAGGTTGGCTAATCTCATCAATGTTAACAAATCAAAAGCCGAGCTGTCGCAACATAAGGGTGTAGGTGAACTGCCATAAACTAGAAACGTCTCTGATTCAACAGACAATAAAGAATAGAAAAACATCAACACCTATAATATTGCACATTTAGTTCATCCTCAAATACATTCAGTTGTGTCCGACTAATACTCTCACAGATGCTCTTCAACTAAACACTCTGCATATTCAATTGGAAAATCTGTCAAATTGTTTTACCTGTATTATTTTTCATGTGCAGATGATTACAGTCGTAAAGAAAGAGCTCTTAAAATGTAGCGCCCGTTACAGACTGAAGCATATCAGGGAATATCATTGAGAAGCACAGATCACTGGCAATTGTTTTCTAGTAAACTTATGACTCATTCTTTGTTAAGACACCATTTAAAACAATTATAACGAGAGAAAAAAACGTTTTAATTTGAACAAGATGCTTATCATAAGCCGTTAGTTCACTAATTGAGCCAAGCCAAGTAATAACACCATTCTCATTGCTGACTCATACCTTTGATGGGAAAGAAAACAAACCAAACATCGCTACCATATCCATGTGCTACCTCATCAAACTTTGTACCCATCACTGCAACAATTAGATCATTATTGGATGATTATATTGACAGACAATTAACAAGTCTAACAATCAACCGATTTCATTTCTGTCTATCCAAGAATCGATTAAACTGTTGCAGCTCTACAGTTCTTTATCCCATTTTTGGGCTAACTTTAATTATTAATTAAAGAACGGGAACATTTGTGGCTAGAATATTTTAATTCTAAAAACCTCCATTTGTAGGATGAAGCTAAACAACAACAACAACCAGTCTTTCTCTGTGTGACACATTCAGCTTGATTAAATGCCCGTTGGAGGGTGCACATTAAAGCCTGATTACTGCGAGGGTGGGGGTGTGATGCATTCGGCCATCTCTCCCTTGTGAAGTGAAGCAGACTGGAATGATGTCCTCCATTTGCCTGCATGCCAGAAAATCCTTCGTCCTTCCTGAATCTATATGCTGCTGCTGACCTGACAGTAATGCATAGATGTATGCTGCTAAATAATAGCTTCAAGCACAAGTAAAGCTCAGACGTATTTGCCATAACAGTAGAGTCAGAGGAACCAGGATTTGGAACACATATAACTATCAGCAATAGTGAGTGTACGTATTGGGACTAGATGTGAGAGACGCAGCCATACAGCCCAGGATAAATTGAGTCTTCTGCTCTTAATCCCGAATGCTCCACGTTGCAAAGGGACCAATAAGCCCACGAAGAAAAAGTGAGGAACACTACACTGACTACCAGCCCGAGAAGCAAAGAGGATCTAAGGTCATTGTCTCTCGTGTTTAGTATTCAGAACGTGAGTTTGGGAGTCTATAGCAATCCTCTAGAGCCAAGTCAGATGAAACACCACCAGCATTGCAACACCAGTCCTGCAGACCATTTTATTCTTCCCCTCGTGACAGACGGGATGCATGTTGCCATCCTGCTCCATCTCCCTGCAGCACACTTGCTATTTATTTGTTCAATTAAAATGTCTTGTAGCAAGTGTTTGGCCAAACAAGTACTATATTAAAAAGATAGAAACCAATTTGCGGGATATTGAGTCACAAATCCCTACACAGGCATTGTTTTCAGACTCATAATAACATGATGATGCTTTGCGAGGCTGCTATGAAGATTATAAAAAAAGGGGGCAAAACAATAACAACGCTTCCTTTAACTACACAAAAAAAAAAAACAGTTAGTTTTAAACTTGTTCACATAAATATGATGCCTAAGGATGTATATTCAACACAAGGGTTATCAACTAAAACTGAGAACTATTACAGCTACTCAACATAACCACAGCAAACAAGAAAACAACAACGTCATTCTTAATAAAGCTGTAAATGTTATATCAATATCAATTGATTTCCCTGCTGATAATACACTGCGCCCTACCGCATTCTCTCCGAATGATAAACCATAATGATAAGTTATCATCTGTGCACAGTGGGTAACTCACGCTCACAAGAGGAAACACTCATTTACAGCAGTGTTGAAATTGTTTCTGGGCGAAGGTGGTCTTTTTTGAGCTATTTATTCTTCCAACCTTCCTTCCCCTTCACATGAAGACAGCTTGCTGAGGATTTATTGTCCTTAATATCAGCTAAAATGTTTAATCTGCTGGTCACTGTCAACTTTAAAGTAAGAAAACCTCCCCACAATGCAGTGGGAGAGTGAATGGATAATACCTGCCTGGAATACTTTATGACTGACACAGTGGCAGTGTGAGTATGAAAATAACCGGTGTGATCTGCTGAGACACTGAATTTACAACATTGTTTTTTAAGGTAGTATAACAAGCCTTTATGGATATAATAACTTGTTTCCGTCCTCTGGCAAGGGAGGTGTAATGTGTCACTCTGCACCTATCTCAGATGACATTTACGTTACTGAGTGCGCAACGCTTTGAGCTACATTACTCATAGTGTCATGTGGTGCACTGATTTAAATCAGCTATGGGTATTTGGAAATATTCACACACTCACCTGGTGGCATGTTATGAGCAAGGCAGACCACACAAATATCCCTGTGAGGGCCTGAGCTGCCAGTGTGTTCAGAAACATCTGGTGTTCTATGATTGTGCCATTGCTTGTTCGAATAATTGTCATATTGGAGACGTCTGGGAGGATATGTGCATCAAGGTGAAGGATAGAATTATTCTCATTTGATGAATCCATCTCTTCCAATGAAATATCCATCTGAAAAAGAGAGAAACAACCAGAGGGTTTACAGGTAAAATGTAACAACACCCCCATGGGTTTGACTTAATGTCAAATTATTTCATGTCCCCTGCTGTGAACACAAAATAACTCGGTTTTTATAACCATACTAAAACATTATGAGAAGAAAAAACAGTAAAATAAAAGTGAAAGACGAGATGATCCTGATATTAAACTTCTTAACCGTTAACAAACAGCTTACCTTGTCTCAGGAGGTAGGAAGCGGCTTTATCCTGTTTAGTCGATATTGTCCTCGTGGCCAATGTTATAGGATCAACATGGAGAACAAACTCGCTTTTCAAAATAGCCAACTGACCTAATTCACAGCCATTTACAAGCGGCCCGTCGACTTTACCATCGACGGGTTCAACAGACTTGACTTCCTTGTTTGAAACAGGTGCAACACCGAGGTCGAAGTCCACGTATTCGGAGATGAAAACTCCAACAAAACCAGTGACAGAAAACTCACAATACACTAGCCTGGTGCGTTAACTTCGTGTAATAATTGGACAAAAATCCTACTTTCAGTGTTAACGACGAGTACGTAATGTATCCTTCGGCGGCGTCTCGCTCAGAGCAGCCGAGATAAACAGGTTGGGCACAGGTGAACGGGTCACGTGTCCACAGCTCCACGAGTGACGTCACGTTGTCTTTATCTGAGAGAATACCTTTAGACTGAGAGTGAACAAGAGAGTATCCTTTGTTTTTCGGTCGCCCGTATAACATTTTGACAAGACTTTTAATTAGAACAAGTATTATTACTTATGTATTTAGATAATATAAAGGAGTTCAATGTTACAAAAGCAAATACAATATTAAAGAAGGTAGGGCCCTTAAAATCACTCAAAAAGAATCCCAAGTATTAGAAATGTTATATGTACTTTTATTTATGAAATTTCACACAATACTGATAATGTTAAAGCAAAAATATATAACTGCTAATGTATCTGAAATAAGGGTGCAATTCGTTGATCAGTGTTTTTTGAGTGTAAATAGCTAGTAGAGAAAGCTTTTAAATCTGTTTAAAATGTCCCTAAATTATGATTTCACTGAAATGTAACACATCTCCCACAGCTATAATTGATGAAATAGATACAAAATATTATAGAAGGCATTAGCCATTTCCTCAGTTTAATGTGAATATGTTTAATGTTTAAAGTACTTGTGTTAAGGCTAAACTATCCTTTACACCAACTGAATACAAATGTTTTAAAGACTTATAAAAAGGTACATTTCAGAAGTGCCCTGTTTTATTTTTCAAAAACCGACATGCAACAATTTCAAATATTTATCTTTATTACAAATCCAAAACAAACAAAACAGTAAGGTCAATACGTATTTCATACAATGATGAAAGTGGAGCTATCGGCTATCATTTTGCAAACACACTGCGAGCGAGCACAGTGGCTTGCAGAAATTATTTCTATACAACCAAATAAACTCAGAAGACATTTTTTGTCTGAACAAATCAAAAAAGATCAGTTACTGAAATTGCATTTATACATGTCTCTGTTGCGGCACAAGCTATCACAGATTGGCATTCAGTAAGTATTACATTATTTTCAGTTTAAAAAGATGCATGAAAAATGTGACATTGGGGACATCCTGAAAGACTGTTTCGCCCAGTCTTCAGGCTTCATGTCCATTATGACTTTCTACCAGACTTGGCAACTTTTTACGATCTCTTTCATTTGTTTTATTGAATCTATGGAGGAATCCTTGAGCGCCAGACCCAGTAAAACAGGCCTGTTGCCGGCTTCTTGTGACACAAAAGTGGCCAGGTTTTTGGCACAGACATGAGTAAGAGGCTGTAAAGAGAAGAAAATAAATCAGGCATCAGATTATTACACACAGAAATGCTGCAATATAACATGTTATTGTCAGAAGAAAATGAATGACAATCGTTGCATGTAAAAGGGCTTAAGAAACTGATGATAAAAAGATGAAATTACAGATATAGCACTTTCTTTGCAAACACATCTTTCCCTTTTACTCCAGGTTTTTTTTTTACATCAATAATCTTCTTTTTTACTCAACAAACAAACCAGTTTTCATTGTTTTTAGATATGCTTTTTGGTATCAAAACGATACGTGTTTGTATGGTAAATAATGTTTAAATCTCTTCAGGTTTGTATTGAGGTATTAACTCACTTTTCAAACTGTGAACAAGTTGTCCAGGAAAAAAAAGAATTCACTTTTCCTAACACATTTTGTGCTGTATCCATTGAGAAAAGTCTTTTTTTTTTTTAAGTTCTCCCAAAGTAAGAAGCGCTTGTACGTCTCATATGTGATCTCATATGACTTACAATATGATTAGATTTTAATGAATCCCCTGATGTTATTGTAGCAGGTTATGTGTCTGCTGTGTAACCCAGTAAACTTCACAATAACAGAGATGTAGACTGGGCTGTTGACATAATGCTTAACCACATTACAGACACAATACTCCATCATTGTGTCTGTGTTTGCTTTCACACTGCATCCCTCCATGGCTCTAAAACCACACACATTATAAGAAGGTGCAAGTATTATCTTTTCTTTAAAGACTATAAGACTTAAAAAAAACTCTTTTCAACTCGGAAAGCAAACATACTTACAATACATTTCTTTGTTGATTATTCATGTCTGGCACTAAACGTCAATAAGTAAATCACATGCTGAGGCAGAGCTGAAATAAATGTTCTGGTGCAAACTTTAGCAGGCCGCTGAACTGATACAATTCCTTCCATTCCACTAGAGCCATTCAGAACCAACCTTATCTGCCCTTTCACAGCATGAGATGAGTTATCCTGTGTTGCAACAAGTCTGTGTTATGTCCTGTGAACAAGTCTTTAATGCACTGATACAATATTAATCTGAACAATTTCATCGAGCCTACCTCGTCTTTGCCCAGCAGTACTTTGGTGGAGAACGACGGGGTGCTGATGTCATTAGATCTGGAGTCAGGTGTGACAGATATCAATGTCCCCATTTTGCCGTACTGAGTAAGTACTACGAATATGTAATTACTGAACTCTGTACAGACGACCTGCGTTGAAATTCCATTTACTTCTTTCACCGTCTGTTTCGATTTGATGACCGGCTGAGCAGAAGACATTTTGGTGATCCTGGGGGAGAAAAATAAACAAGGAATGGTTATATGTAGGGCAGCTGCTCAATATATTACCATTATTGATTATTCCACCTATTAGTTTCTATGTTCTGAATGTATCTGATCAATACATTTGGCTATAAATTAGTAAGTATAATAGTTACATAATGGCCACAATTCCCCAAAGCTGCTCAATTATATTATTTTATTATATATGATGAGGAAAAGCTTGAAACTAAATGTATCATTTAATTGTAACTACTGATAGACAAATCATATTACTTCTGGATAATCAACAATATTTGTTTTCTCCAACTTTGGAAGTAATGACAATATACATACGTTATAACATGTTATTGGTTTAGGTGTGTTATATTACAACCTATAGTTACATCTACAAACCTTGCAGAGTCGCAAAGGATACCTCTCAAGACAGCTATCCCTGTTTTAATGTAAAGAGAGAATACTCTTTGTTGCATACTTTAGATAGGTCTATTAATACATAACCTCTGCAAATAAAACACATCACTTATTTGACAGATATGTAAACATAACTTTCCCAAAATGACATACTATTCTTACTATACGTTATCCTATCTGGGAATTTAAATTAGGACAAGACAGGACATTGTAAGCAGCTAGGTACAGAAATAAAAACGACAGAAGTATTTCAGAATCGTGTCCCCAAAAACCCCACCTTCCATCACCTGCAGAGAAAACTGTAAGATCGATTAACGTCCTACTTTTACTCTCCTGGGAGGAGTGAAAAGTGAAAGGAAAGCTAGGTGATGCACAGGCTACTGTTAGCCAAACAGCTAATGTTATCTCCAGTTGTAGCCTTCACAGCTGCATAACAATGAAGAGATTCTCAGCGTCTATGTTACACGAAGAGCCTCACCCTATTTCCTCGTCGGTGGACAAAGTAAAGCTTCTTGTGAAATGAATCCCTTCACTTTCAGCAACTTTTGTAGTGCTATGTGATTCACCAAAAACAAACGTGCGCCGTTTGGTTGGGTTGAACGTAAGCTATCCTGCTGTGCTGACGTGCCTGACGTCACGTCTGACTTCCGGGTTAGTTTCTGCTCAATTTAAAACAAGTGAGAGGTTTTTATCTCCTTTTTTTCCTCTTTAAACATCAATAGATTGTATTAGTCTTTCATCATCAAAAGCAGAAGAAATAATTTTGATGTTATAAATCGTGCCATAGTTGGAGCTGATTATAATGTCAGTATTATTCTTCTATTAGGACTGGTGTATTAATCAGGTTGATAGCAATACTAGTTTCACCTAAATATAACTTGTGTTGGATTTTATTAATTTTAAAGGTTTTGTTAAACTTATTTTGGAATCACTTTTCCTAGATGTATACAAAGGCTTTGGTAATGTGCAGCATTATATCACACAAAGGATATTAATTGAAAGCAAATCATAGGTAAAAAGGCTATCCCATTAAATACAACCTTTAGAATATTAATTTTTTTTGACATACTGTAATTGTTAGTTTGATACCTTTTCGCTTCTTAAAATCACAGAACTGCTACCGTTAATATTAAGATGATGATTTATTTTGAAAGTCCTGCACAAAGATTGAATACATAGAACCTGCAGCGGATTGGGTTAATGCTGTCTCAGAACAAATATCATGAGGGTTTGTGTCGGAAAAAAGGACAGGAAAATGATCGCTGAAGTTACTACTTTTTGGTAAACCACAAATATACAAAAATACAGTAATACAAACTTTTAAAGTGTTCAAGGTTCAAGAAGTTTTCACAACGCCTAAATATACTGTGCACAGCTAATGTCCCAAAACACACTATGATGCAGTGAGGATGATTCAAGTTGACTTTCAATAAAGTATTTCTCAAGAGTGCATTTTATAAAGTTTCAAATGAGGCTGATTCTCTGCCCTGGAACATTTCAATCAATATTAAGCAACAGAAACAACTCTGCCAAAGCAAGAAACCACAGAGGCAAGATGTTTTTTAATTAATTGTCAATGGAGCTTTAATTTTAGGAGCAGATAAAGTCTTGTTTTTCATTTATTTTATTTTTTTGTTTATAATTTACCATTAGCAGAGATATTTATTAAATATTAGCACTTTCACCTCAGGCTGAATGAACCCTCTTTTGAATGAGATAGATGTAACATCTCCATGGCTCTATGGCAGTGTTTCTCAAACTTTCTCATACCAAGGACCAGTGTATAGGCTACAGCCATACCAATAAATCAAGAAATGGCTTAGCCCCACCTTAGCCCCACCATGAAAAATTATGTTAAAGTAAGCAAATTAAATTAAATAATAAGCAAAATGCTAAATGCTAAATGTTGAGGAAACTGCTTGCGAATATATACGGGTCGTGTCCACACAACACACAAACTGATCCTGCTGTAACAACAAGTGCTTGTACTGATGCAATATGGTTGAGACCATTCAGGCTTATGCTAGAAGAGGGGTGCAAGTAATAGTCTAACACAGCGGCTTTGGAAAAAGCTTGCCGGCGGG